TTCAATAACCTCACATGTATTTGAAAGTTGAACAATGAATAAAGAAGACTGTAAAAGAATTGATGCATTGAGTTATGGTGTTGAAGGAGAATATAAAAAATACCATGAACTGCCAAATGAACAAACAAATCTGTGTTGGAAGAACTTGGTCCTTGAAAGTCAGGATGACCAGATTTCATCTCTCATACTCAGACATGCTAATAGGAGGGAGGGACCAATCTCTGGAGAAGGATATCATACTTGGTAAAGTGGAGAATCAGTGTAAAAGAGAAAGACTTCCAGCAAGCTGTATGGCACATGGCAGCAGCAACGGGTTCAACTGTAGCAACAATTGTGAGGTGTCATAAGACCGGGCAGTGTTTGGTTTGTTGTGCATGAGGTCGCTATAAGCCACTACCAGCTCAACGGCACATAACAGCAACAGGAATAATAAATATGGTATGTACAAAGGTTGAGGGCTGTAGATCAACATAAGGTATTTAATTCCTGATCAGGTAGGGAAAAAAAGAAAACCTCAATTACTGAATAACCACGTATTTACTGAATTTGAGTAATTACTCAACTAGGAACCCTGTCTTCTGATCACCTTTACTACTTCTTAACATTTTTAATGACATGGAGCCCACACCACAGGACCTCTGTGGGCCCTGTTGGCTAGAAATCCTCTCTAAACGACTCAACGGCATTTAACAACAACAACACAGGGTAGTATTGAGTTGGAATTAATTCCCTGGCAGTGGAGGTGGGTTATTCTCTATTCATTTCAATAAACATTTATTGGGTATCTACAAGTCAGGCATTCTTCAATGAGGTAGAGCTACAGCAGAAAGAAAACAAGAAAAAAGAAAAAACACCTGATTTTATATGCTTCAATTTAGTAGGTGTGACATGCTATGTGTCAATGTGCCAGACTGCAAAGCCGTTTGAACTGCAAGGTTGGCAGTTTAAACTCACCAGCTGCTCCATGGAACCCCTATACAGGGTCATTATGGGTCGGAAATGACTCAACAGCACTTAACAACAACAACAATTAAATAAATGAATAAATAAACAATAAAGATGAGGAAATAGTTGTGAAGAATTCTTGTTGAAAAGAACGTCAATCACTACATCCTTTCTCTTGAACTGGCATGAACATCAAAGTTCTTTATCAGACCACTAAAAAAATTACTAAATAAAGACGAATGTATATTCCTCATAAAAATTCTCTACCAGTAGTATTTTAAACTATCAAATTTTTACACATTTTAAGAATGTTTTAATTGTATGGATCACTTGTTGTTGTTGTTGTTGTTATGTGTCGTAGAGTAGGTTCTGACTCATAGTGACCCTGTACAGGGTTTCCAAGGCTGTAAATCTTTACAGGAGCAGAAAGCCTCATCTTTCTCCCGTGGAACAGCTGGTAGTTTCGAACTGCTGTCCCTGAGGTTAGCAGCCCAATTCATAAATACTACTCTACCAGAGAAAATGGATACAATTATCAAATTGAAGAAAACATTTTAATTAACTAAAGAATCTTGGTGTGGTGCTGCAGGATAAGCACTGAGCTGCTAACTCCAAGGTCAGAGGTTCAAACTCCTCAGAAACCTTATATAGGGTCGCTATGACTAGGAACTGACTCAACAGCACTTAAACAAGGGATAAATTGAATCTCATTTCATTGCAAAACACGTAGGGAAAGAAATAATTGAGAAAGACTTAAACATTTATTATAAATGTACATTCTAACAACAGAGCACAAAATAATCACAGTAAATCATAAGTATGATTTATGATTTTCCAGTCAAAATGATATATTTGCCATAATCAATTATAAACTAAGGAAAAGAGACTACCATATATTATCTAGGAAGTGAAGAAATTATCTATTGATTTTCTTTACAATAATTTGTTAAGAAAATTACTTTCATATTGCAAAATAAAAATCCTACACATAATTTCTCTTACCACAGGTTTTTAAAAAATTAAGTGTTGATGACATTGATAACACAAGCCATCCCAGAGTTATATAAAAGGAGGCAGATCAGTGAACAGTAGGTATCAAACCAGAAGGTCAGGTACTCACAGTAACTGCTAGCACAGCTGGTTTTCCCTTCTTTCTTCTTTCCTCTTTCCCCTTTTCACTACACAGCCACTCCCAAACTTTCTCCCTAGCCAGAAACAGTCTATATCGAAAATATTTTATCAGTCTAAAAAAATTTTTTAAATTATAATATATATGATGAGATCAACAGCAGAACAAGAGTCTCACATAGTTTGATGAGGAATTAATTTAAAAGCTTTTGTAAACAGGGTCATAATTGTATGAGACAATCCAGTCAACTGGTATAATAGATTTCTAGAGTTTATTTTCTACCTCCCAGTATAAGTAGTGTTTGGGGTCTTAGAAGCTTACAAGTGGCCATCTAAGATACAACCATTGGTCTCTATTTGTCAGGAACAAAAAAGATAGAAGGAAACTCAGGAATTAGAGAAGGAACTAGGCTGTCTACAGGAACCACACTGCCTCTTCCAGCTCAGACTGGACGGTTCCTGACTACTGTTACTGATCATTCTGATCAAGGACACAGTAGATGAATTCTGATAAAAAAAATTTAAAAAAAGGGGGCAAAAACATGGAGAACTTCAAATTCTGACAGAATCCAGACTTATTGGACCTAATAAGTATGAAGGAGTCAAGACTATTGCTCTGGGTTACTATTCCAATCTTGAATCAAAACTATTCCCTTGATGTCACCTTTAACCTAATTAACAGCCCAAAGAATAAAATACTGTCACCCTTGAGTACTGTGTTTATTTAAAAAAATAACAATAATCTATATAAGACCAAAGGATCAAAAGTTATTTTAAAGCATAGATGATAAGGTTGTGGAACAGGGAAATTAAGTAAATGGAAGTAAAACACTAGAACAAAAATACAACAAGAATACTGACACAATATGAAGAATGTAACTAATGCCACTGACCATTATGATCAGAAATATGTAATTAATGCCACTGATGAATATGTCTAGAAACTATGCAATGCAAGTGGGTTCTGCTGCGTATATCGTAGGGGTTACGAATTGGGCTGCGAACCGCAAGGTCAGCAGTTCGAAACTACCAGCTGTTCCATGGGAGAAAGATGAGGCTTTTTGCTCCTGTAAAGATTTACAGCTTCGGAAACCCTGCACAGGGTCACTATGAGTCAGAACTGACTCCAAGGCACATAACAACAACAACAATCTTTCTAAATCTTTTTCTAAGTACTCTTTTGTTTAACAGAATACATCAAAACTTCTTGTTGTTGTTCTTGTTTAGTGCTGTCAAATCGATTCTGACCCATAGCAACCCTGTATAGGGTTACCAAGGAGCAGCTGGTGAGCTTGAACTGCCAACCTTGTAGTTCAAACAGACTTTGCAGACCAGTGCATTAAACCACAGAGCCACACCATCAAAACTTAAAACTGTGTATATTCACAAGTTGATTTCATTTCCCATTGAATACATTCAAAGCACATATTTAGAATTACAACCAAAGACTGAAATGCCCAAGATACTGGTTGCAATAGCATTTAATACAGATCAAATTGTATCAATCAAATATCCAATCAGAGGATGATTAAATAAATTATATCATTCCCAAAGGATATTATGCAAACAATTAAAATAATATTTTCAAAGAGTACACAAAAGCATGGGAAAATGTTCATCATATCAGTGTAAAAAGAATAAACAGTTGCCCTTTTAGACTAGACAGAAATGTTGACAGTCATTATTTATGCTGAGAAATGACAGCTAATCTTTTCTGTATATTTTTATATTTTCTATAATCAAAATATATTACTTTTGAAATATAAAGGAATACTAAGAAATATTATCCAAATTTGTGTTCAAAGAAAACCCTACAATATGAATTATTATACATACTATGGACAATTATCAATGATGACAGTTTTCAAACAAGTCTACCAAAACTATCAGAGCTTTTAATAACATATTATTAAAAGATCTGGACTTTCAATAAAGTACATAGCTAGAGACATAATAAAATGTCATTATAAAATTTACTTGGCTAATACAGTCTTTGTTCTCTAATTTATCTTAAGGAAGCAAGGAGTCCTGGTGTGGTGCTGTGGGTTAATGCACCAGAGTGCAAAGCCGTTTGAACTGCAAGGTTGGCGGTTCAAGCTCACCAGCTGCTCCTTGGAAACCCTATACAGGGTCGCTATGGGTCGGATTTGACTCAATGGCACTTAACAACAACAATGAGGAGGAAGCAAAGCAAAAAATAATCAAAAATTTACTTCATACCATAGTGCTGTAGTAGAGAAGGGACAAGAAAGCTTATTTCTTAAAATAAAGTATTACTCATGGTGCTGCGGGTTAATGCACTGGGCCACAAGGTCAGCAATACAGGCTCACCAGTAACTCCTTAGAAACCCTATACAAGGTCAATATGAATTGGACAGACTCGACGGCAAGGCAAAATCAAGAGTAGGAACCTGAGTGCTATGGATAAATTAAGAAACAGTTTTCATCAGATTTATAATGAGTAAGGTCTACCCAAAAATGCTTTATGAGAGATTCTATAAAACACAATACAAAATCTTTTAAATTATTTACTGTATTTGTTTTCAGTATTTCCCAGTCCTCAAATGTATATGGTTTGTGAATTTATGTGTGTGTAAACATACATTCCTATAGAAACAGAACTCTAAAAGCAATCTACACCACGGAAAAACTACTGTTAAAATACCTACAAAGAGAAGATGCTTCATTTAAGCATAATTTTACATTTTATGTCACTAATTCAATCTTATTCTTTGAATTAACTTTCTCAATCTTTGGTTTAACACCTGTTAGATTATTATGTGAGTGTGGTTTTACCTAAACTAAATTGTAGACAAAGTTATCTTTGAATTTTCAACTACATTTCAAGGAACAAATTCAAAAGGCAGAGTTTTTAGATTTTAGACCAAATTAAAATGATAGTTACTTCTTTAACTTTTCATAATTACCTTCTCTGGATCCATTTTTCCTTTGATAAATTCTTGCTTCCAGAACTGCAATGCCTGTTCCAGAGTTAAACCAATGCCTTTCAGGAAAAGGCCATACTGCATTCGGCCTCCATGACGAAGATGGTGATTTTCCCGCAAGGCTTTATGCAACTGACGCATGCAGGGTGGGAACGATTTGGTAGAAAGCTACAAGAAAAAACAGCTTGGGGTTATGTGGAAGATTAACCAGGTCCCCATAATATTGGTTGTGATTGCAAATTTAATCTGACTGGAATAAAAACAAAAACTATAGGGAAGTATTACTGTATTATCATGATTATAGATGAACTTTCTTCTTAATATTATTGTACTGATTACATGTTGAAATGATAATATTTCTAATATACTGGGCTAAGTAAAATATATTAAAATTTTTTACACCTGTTTCTCTTTATCTTTTAATTGAACTTTCCTTTTGACATAATAGTCAATCACATGCAGTCATAAGAAATAATAGAGTGAAGTATCACATACTCGTCACCAAGTTTCCCTAAGTGGTGATTTCATGAAGTTAGCAGCCAAAATAGGGAGAAAACAGCTGTGTCTTCCATATATACAAAAGGCTTCAAAAAGTTAATGGAAAAATTCCATTGTCTTTTAACTCAATTTTTACACAAACTTTTTAAACCCTTCTTGAATTTGGAAGGCAGACTCAACAAGGTTTGCTGGTGACTGGAGTCAAAGATGATAAGAAAAGGAAGACGTATTTGGAATACAAAATTTACATGCATGCTTAAAAATCAAGATTGCAGAGGTTGTATATTTGTTAGGTTTGAGAGAGTCTATAATAGGCTAAAACAAGACCGAAAATGACTGTGGAAATTGAGAAGACTAGAGTGGTAAAGTTAGAATATAAGATTATAAACATGGATACTACAGAGGCTAAGAAGAATACGCAGTTCAATGAAGAGGGGGAGTTGTGGGGAGAAAGGCAGTGCAACACAGGGAAGTACATCACATGACAGTGAAAAAGCTGGAGCTCTGACAATGAAAGGCAAAAAAAAATGTGTTGGAAATGGCAGTAGGGACAAAGGAAGAGCTTAACCCAAACCTACTGAGTGTAAAGGAAAAGGCACCTTTCTACCTGAAGAGGGTTTTATAGAGAGAGAAAATCAAGGAAGAGAGATTGTCAAGAGAGCCTAATTACAATAAGAAGAAAAATCTAAAATGAATATTTGGAGAAGATACTGAAAATATCGAGGGGTGGAAATGATAACTTGTTCTCAGCATCAGAAAGAGTTCTATATAAAGATACATCTCTATCACTTAGCACAGGGTTTCAGTCACAGACCCACAGACATGATCATCACATAGCAATTAGCTGGTGTGGTGCTGTAGAATCAGCACTGGACTTTAAACCACAAGGTCAGCAGTTCAAACCCACCAGCTGCTCCTCAGAAACCCTATGTGGGGTCACCACTATGATTTGGAACAGACTCAATGGCACTAACAACAATATTTACTATGTTGTCTACCTCCTTCAAATAAGGTCCATGTTTGATTCACCTCCACAGTCACTGAAAAGAGTCCCGGTGGCACAAAGGTTAAGGACTTGGCTGCCAACTAAATATCGTGGTTCAAACTCCACCAGCCACTCTGCAGGAAAAAGATGTGGTAGACTGCTTCTGCAAAGGTCACACAGCCTTGGAAGCCCTATTTGGACAATCTACTCTATCCTATAAGGAGCTCTGGTAATATAGTGGTTTCAAGTTGGGCTGCTAACGTCAAGGTCAGCAGTTGGAAACTACAGCTGTTTCGAGGGCAGAAAGATGACGCTTTCTGCTCCAGTAAAGATTTATAGCCTCAGAAACTCTACGCAGGATCGCTAGGAGCTGGACCTGGCTCCACGACACACCACCACCACCACCATCACCACTCTATCCTGCAGGGTTATTATGAGTCAGTATAAATGAACAGCAACAGGTTTGTTTCTGCTTGGTATTTACAACACAACAGGTGGTAAATAATGGATGTAGTTGTTGTTGTTATTGTTGTTAAACGTCATGGAGTCATAGCCACCCCGTATAGGATTTCCAAGACTTCAAATCTTTTGCGGAAATGGCTTGTGGGCTTGAACAGCTGACAATACGGTTTGCAGTGCTTATCCTATGTAGCCAACACCCCCACAGCCACATAATGGGTAGCTTCTATATATATTCACTAAATTAATTAATGAATAAACTTCTACAACCCTCCACAGTGTCTAACACAATATGACATTTGCTTGTAATGAAGGAAAACATCCAGACATAATTAGGAAAAGCATCAACTGCCAATCATTCACACAGGATAAAAAACACTAAAAAAAAAGCACAAAAACACTAATATGAAGAGTGTGACTGGGGAGGTTTAGAGATAACATACTGCTTGAGAAAATTAAAGAATGGGACATGTAAAAAGAACAAGTCTCAAATTAACTGTGTACGGTAGGCAATCCAACTGTTATTTCTAGTTATAACAACTATAATCACTTAATTATAACTTGTCAAATAGGGGGGAAAACTATTCATTCCACTCTGTAAAAGCTTATGGCCTCTTTCTACTTACCCCTATATTACAATGCATATTTCCAAGCATTAAAATCTGCATTCATTATTTATTATTTCCAAGCATTAAAATCTCAATGTATTTTTAAGGTATTATAAATAATTTTAGTAACTGCCTAAACATAGGCTATTTATGGCTGGATAATTTTTCCTATTTTGGATGGAAAGGAAATTCTATCATGTAGAATTTATAATCTGTAGATATATTCTATAACTTATAGTAAAGTATACTTTATCTTTCATTCTACTATAACACAACAAAGAGAAATGAAGTTGAAATATGCTATCCATTAACTAAGTGGCAACCCAAATATAGAAGCCTATACTTAATATTTTCCATATCTCCTTTTCTAAATATACATGTTGGTGGAGGTGGTGGTTATGTGCCATGGAGTGGATTCTGACTCATAGCGACCCTGTATAAGGTTTCCGAGACTAAATCTTTATTGGAGCAGAAAGCCTCATATTGCTCCTGCGGAACTGCTGGTAGTTTCGAACTGCTGACTGTGAGGTTAGTAGCCTGACTTGTAACCAACTACACTACCAGAGTTCCTTTAAATATAAACACATAAACACATTTAGCTATCATCACTTAAAATTATTCCCTTTGGAATAACTGCTTAAATCCTATTTTATCTAGCAACAAACAATTTTTTAAATTAAATTTAGTCTTCCTATAACTTTAAAAAGGAGTACTGGTATGGTGCTGTGGGTTAATACGCCAGACTGCAAAGTCGCTATGAATCGTACGGTTGGCAGTTCAACTTACCAGTCGCTCCTTGGAAATCCTATAAAGGGTTGCTATAGGTTGGAACTGACTCGACAGCACTTCACAATAACAACAATACAACTTTAAAAAAAAAAAACGGGCTTTTCTTTAAAACTTATTGTCAAGCAATAAAATAACATTCTGTCCCCTTTCTCAACTCAAAGATAATCTTTGGCTGTAGAAAATCTGTGTTTCCTCCAATGGCAAAGGAGTAGGTTTAAAGGATGATTGATGCTTACCAAATCGATCTGATCCAAAGAAATCTTCCCTGCATTTCCCTGTACACTGTAATCTTGACCAGTGTAGGAATGACTACAAAGGGAAAATATATATATATATTAAAACAGGATTAAAGAAAAGAAAATTTTGGAATATGTCAAATAATTTTTTTTTATTCTGAAAAAAATTAAAAGTTAGAATAAGAAAATATCTAATATATAAACTTCAGCTTAAACACAGCCCAATATTTAGAATGCATTTAATATAAAATATTTAAGTAACTTACCTCAAAATGATTCAAAAATTTAGTTACAGTTGGGGCCTCCTGATTCCTAGTCTAGTGATACTTCCATTTCTTAAAAGCATAATCCAAATTATTATTAAAGTTCAAACTATCTATCCCTTCAACACAGCAAAGAAGAAACTGAAGCTAAATCAGGAATCATCTTAAAAGTGGTAGGTCCCTGAGCAAGTTACTGGGACTTTCTGAATCCCAGGCTCGCCATCTGTCTAATGTAGATGATAATGCCAGTCCTGCAGAGTTTGTAGAAAGTCTCAACTGAAATAAATTTTACAAAAGACCGGACATATAGTAATATCTGTTTGCTAAAATAATATCTGACTACCTGGTGTGGCACTGTAGGATAAGTGCTGGACCGCAAGGTTGGTTTAAATGATAGGGTCTGGGTTTCAAACTCACCAGCTACTCCTCAGAAACCCTATACAGGGTCGCTACGAGTCAGAACCAACTCGATGGCACTTAACACCACCAACAACAACCAGTTAGAGTGTGCAAAGAGTTCTTAACTATATTCTTAATTAGATCCTTCAAACACCCTGAGAGAGTATTTTAGCAGATGAGTCAGAAACTTGATAAGACAGAAAGGAAAAAAAAAAAAAAAAACAAGAAAAAAAACCCAGCAGAGCTATGAATGCAAACCGCTAGACTCCCAGTGCCCTGTTTCTTTACTGTACCATGCCATCCCCTTCCCTATAATAAATTCTGATGTATTTTTATAAATTGGAGAATAATTTGATATGTTTTATTGTTGGTAAGTACCACTCAATCAATTCCAACTCACAGCAACCCTGGATGGGGTTTCCAAAGAGCGGTTAGCAGATTTGAACCACTGACTTAGGGTTAGCTGGCCAGTGTTCTCTACCTACATCCAACTCCATAAACATTGATTCAAAGGCAGGCATTCAGATGTGAGACAGCTAAAAACAACTTCAAGATTACAAATAAAACCCATGGTCAAACCATGGTTTATGTAGACCCCACAACTAAAGAGAAAGCCTGGAATGAAGTGTGTCACTACAATCCTAAAGTATTCCAGACTCTTTCTACTTCTGAGTACAGATTCTCAATGTTGAACAATATAAAATAAACACACTAAGATGTTCTGTAGAGAGGATGTGTATTCCAGACTCTTTCTACTTCTGAGTACAAATTCTCAATGTTGAACAATATAAAATAAACACACTAAGATGTTCTGTAGAGAGGATGTTGTTTCCACAATCACAATTTTAAGAGTAAACAAGGGGTATGGATTATGAAACAAAACTAGGTATGTATGGGTAGCTTAATGTCCATTGGGTCAACATCCCAATACATAATATGTCTGTGATTCCAAGATAATTTTGTTTGTTTTAATGGAAATAAGTGCTCATGTGCTAGACTGCACAGTCAGTTTGAACCACAAGGTCAGTGGTTCAAATTCACTAGCTGCTCCTCGGAAACCCTATACAGGGTCGCAATAGGTTGGAACAAACTTGATGGCATTTAACAACAAGATTAGTAGTATCTTGGAAGAAGTAAGGATGTTGAGTCTACCAGCTAGAAGACAGGCTATAAATAAAACTACAGATTTCCTCAATTCCTGTACACCCTCCCTGACACCACCCTCCGGGCTAAGAAAGCCAGAGAACTGCTTGGAGAGCAGGATGAGGAGAACACCAAGTACTGACACCGAATGATCTCACACCTGAAAATACAACTCCGTGTCCTCTGTTATTTCTCCCGCAAGCAAAACTGCTCTGCCAATTAATGTGTCCTTTGATTCTATTTATTCCATTAATCATATTAGTACTATACATACTAAACTCATGGTACATTAAGCAAACAATTGACATTTAACTTTCACATTTTAAATTATAATAAATAGCATAATCAGAGAATGATTTCAGTGGAATTTCAAGACTAAAAATATATTTCACTTTCCAACATATCTTACTGTGAAGCAAAATAAACAAGGCAATAGAGAGAGCAGTAGGCTAGGAGACCGAAAACCTGCTTTGCTTTAAATCCATAAACCGTGTCACTTACACTTCCTGATCTGTACTTATCCTTGTCTGTAAAATGGCACTAATAATGCCATGTCTGCCTAACTGACAGAAGCTCTAAGGAAATCAAATGACATCACATATTCAAAGTGCTAATTAAAATCAGTAAAACGTATTCCAATACACAGAGCAACTGTAGTCTTGACCAAAAAAACAAAAACCAAAAACCCGCTGCCAGTCCACTGTGATTCATAGCAATCTTATGTAGAGTTTCTGAGACTATAAATCTTTATGGGAGCATAAAGCCGCATCTTTCTCCTGCAGAGGAGCAAGTGGGATTGAATCACCTACATTGCCAGTAACAATCCAATGTTTACCCTACAGCACCACTAGGGTTCCTTGCAGTATTGACCAGTAAGTACAAAAATAACCAGACAGGAAAAGAGGCAGCATTCTGTAATCTTGTAGAGACATTATCACCTAGCTTGGAAGCCTGAGGTCCCTACACTGACACCTTTAAACCTCAGCTCCTTAGTCTATAAATTGAGGACAGTGATTACAGTAATCTAACAAGATTGCTGAGACCAAACAGATGAACAGACACAAAAGTCCTCTATAAATGGTAAAGTGATGTATAAGCGTGATTATGGTTAGTGAGTAAATGGAACCAAATGATCACTGCACCCTAAGGAAGTCACTTTCTACCCAGAGTAATTCAATACACTCATGACGAAGAAACATCAAAAGAAACTCAAAAATCAAAGTAGAGGAGAGGTACAAATAATGTTTCCACAAAAATATAAAAATTCACATTAACTCGTGAAACCATATTTGGCTTTACTTGGAAGTGCCAAGGGATGTTGCTAAATGAGCTTCTTAACGGGTTCCCAGGAAATGTGAGGTACCTTTCCAACACAATCAGAGCTCATACCAGCTCTATATTACACTGCTTTTAAGTGAATGCAGCCATTATTCTAACGTGCTGTCAAAATAGAATCTTATTTTCATGACAAAAAAAAAAAAAAAAAAAGACTCATTTTCTTGAATGCACATATCTTAAAGATTACTTTATAAGGGAACCGTGCACAGCTTGGAAATACAGAAATAGCAATAGGTAATTTTTGTCAGCAAAACAATTTCTAACTGGCTCAAGATCATATATTAATGGAGTCTTGATGTGATGTTTAGGATAAAACCACAAATTTAGCAGTTCAAACTCATAAGACATGCCTTGAAAACCCTGTACAGGGTCGCTATGAGTCGGAACCTTGACTCCATGGCACTTAACAACAAGAACAACATACACATTAACATATGAAAACCTAGCAGAAAACAGTTTTCTATCCATTTAAAATCACCACAACTTTATTTTGAGAAACACTCACTGCCACCAACGTTCATTTTTAAACCAAGGGCTTCAGTATGCATATTTTTTTGCCTCTAAAATTCCTGGTGTAGTGCTATAGAATCAGCACTGGACTGCGAACCACAATGTTGGCAGTTACATTAGCTGCTCCTTGGAAACCCTATACAGGGTCGCTAAGAGTTGGAACCAACTCACATCAGCTAACAACAACCTTTCATAAGAAAATAAAGTGAAATTGATCACAAATGTCATTATTTCCAATATAATAGATGACAGAAGGAAGAGGAGGAGGAGCAGGAGAAGAAGAAAACATTTTTTAAGGGCTACATTATTCAAATTGTCAGTATTTTGCAAAAAAAAAAAAAACCTACATAAAGTGTGAATGAAAAATCAAGATTTGAGGGGTTCTGGCAAGACAATGTGACTAGGCAGACATACTGCATAGAACCTCTACAACAAAGATATGAGAGACTGAATGAAACAGCTGTAGCTTTTAATTCGGGAACGCTGAGCTTCAGCAGAAAGATAGAGAAGTGGATTAGATACTGACTAGGAGAAGAAGCTCAACAGGAGCAGCAAGAGAAGACAGACAGGTAAAGTATCCACTGGCCTTATCTGGCACAACCACCCTGAACTTCTGCAAACAGCAGTGATACAGATGGCAGCCTGACACCACAGACTAGCAATGAGAAGGGTACCATTCTCCCTTGTTCCCAGTCCCCACCCAGACCAGCAGAACAAGCAGTGTGGATCCCTGGTCAGTCAGCCTTGGACAAGCAGGAACTCCCACAAACAGCCTCCGCCTCCGGCTGCCCTCTGAGCCACAAGGAGCTCCTTGTGGGAACAAAGACCCTGACACATCAGTCACTATTAGGGCCTGGATAAATTGCTTCCAAATTAAGTGACCTGACCATAAACAACAAACACCGAGGCCTACAGGAACTCCATCTAGGACCTGGCACACCACTCTCTCAAGTCTGCCCCTCCCACAGAGTGAACTCCTTGATGGGCAGAGGTTGCCAACCTAGACCAGATATCCTGCCCTCTACAGTTTTCTCTTCTCTGGGACCGGCTCCGGCCTTGTTTTTTCCCTTCTTTGTTACGTATGTACATATGTGTATGTATTTATTTATTTTTCCATTCCTTTTCTCTCTCCCTTTCCTTGTTTTAATCCATTCTTTCTCAGGTTCCTTTTTTCTCCTTTTCTTTTTCTTTTTTCCACTCCTCTTTTTTCTACATCTTTCTTAATTATTCTCTTATCTTTTTCTCTTTTCTTCCTCCGTCTCCCTAGTTTTTCTTTCTTTATATCTTCTCTTATTTCTCTACCCCTGTACTTTTCATTTCTATACTCTTTTCCTTTCTGCTGCTTGTTGTTGGGTTTTTTTTTTTCTCCTTTATTATTATTTATTTAATTTTTTCTTGCTATTGTTTGTTATAGCTTGTG